CAAGGAAAAGTGAAATCACTTCAGGAAAAAAGAAATTTATGTATTCTTGACTGAAATGACTTGTCTCTGTTCACATTAACAATGACGAGGGTACTTTTCTAACCTTTCCACCATCTTTTGACAAAATTAAGTAATAAATCAAGAAATTGCAGTGCAGATGAAAACGGGTAGAAGAAGACCAAAATGGGGGAGTTACTTTTGGTGTTAATTAAATGTAATAGTTGTATGAATTGTAGTCATATACTTTTATAAACTAGTATGCACTGCGGAGTATTCATTCAGTTACTATGTGTAAAATGTTGGCTAATGCGAGGAATTCTTTTTCTTTTTTTTTTCTTTCCATAGCTTTAACTCTGTAGCTAAAGCTAATTAATGAGTAAACAAATATGAATAAAACAGTGAGTTCGGACATATTCATTTATGCCTGTACTAGTATTCCATTGGACCATAAACTACTGTCTACTATTCACTGGATTTCAAAAGAAAAGGCAGTGTCATGAAGTTGTAAGAACATTGGACCAGGTATCAAAGGACATGGGTTCTCTTTCTACATCTTGCTAATTAGCTCAGCCAACCTTGACCAAGTCCTGTAGCTTCTTTTTTTTTTTTTCAATCTGTTAAATGATCAGATTGGATAAGATGCCTCCTTAGGTCCATTCTACAGCTAAATGATCATAAAAAATTTAAGTTAAAATAAAGATTTTTAAAAGTTCTTAATGATCGCAATGATCACATGAGAATTTGTTTCAGAAAATTTAAGAGGACAGTGCTCTTTGGTTCAGAGTGCCAAATAATCTCTTGAAAGTCACCATCTATTTACATAAACCTGATACATAAATAAAATTGAAAGTAAAAATATGAATATATGTATTATTTTGAAGTTCATTCTATGCAGAAATTAAAATCTATTGTCAGGTCAACAAATATATTCAGGACTAACACTGCATTTCAATTACTTAATAAATAACACTGCCCAATGCTATATTCTTTCTGTGAATACAAATTAAGGAATGACACTGTCCAATGCTTTATTGTCTCTGTGAATACAAATTAAGGAGTTCGCCTTACTGTTTGAATTTGGATTCAGAAAATAGCTTACTGGGCAATCTCTGTGTACTAAGCTCTGCATGTTTTCTTCACACCATTTTGAGAAGCTGCAATGCGTTCTACACTTGGGGAATTTGGAAATGGATTTTAATCAGGGCAAACTGGTGCACTGCTACCTACAGAACGTGAGAAAGTCTGTATAGTACCTTGGGAAAGGGTGGGTGATTGCTTATATTTATGTAGCCTGATCAAGGACAAAGGAGTGCAGAATGTTGGGCAAATTCCAATCCATTCATGGGACTGCGATATGCTGCAGCCCACTCTCTGAGAAGCTCTGGGTTGACACAGCAATGCCCGAGCTGTGGGTCGTGGACCTGTCTCTCATGGAACTTGAGTTGATGAAGGTGTGTAGGATGCAGAAATCACAACATAAGAAAATTGCTCTTTTCTTAATTCTTTCTCAATCCTTATTCTTCCCAGAAAAAAAAAAAAAGGACTGTTTAGTGCTAGTGTGCGTCTCATATCTATTTTGATTACAGATCTCATTTGTAACTAAGAGAGAGTCAACCAGGAGGGCCAAAGCCTTCTGCGAACAATGAGTATCTACTATAATTTCATAACATTGATGTGTTCCCTATTTTTACAGTAACCTGTTTAGGCCAAGGGATACTGGCTTTTTAGTTATGGCAGCAACATAGTTATCTTTTGAAATGAATTTACTTAAGCCCAAAGGTGTGTTGACTTAAAAGAAACTTTTATGTAAATAAAAGAATAGTACATGGCTGGCAAAATTTCCTAAAGTGATATGCAAATGATTGAAGCTTGGGAAACATGGGCTAGTGAAAAGTACACTGAGTGGAAGATGGGAAACTGAGTCCCTAAGTAGTATTATAACCCTGTCCCCAATTATGGAATCCTTGGACAAGATGATGATGAAACTGTTATGCTTCCGTTTCCTCATTATCCGATGAGTATAATGATGTCTGCCAAGCTATCTTTGCAGTAACAATGGGAAGATTAAAATTAAATGATGAGTACTGAATCCCATAAATTAGAAAGTTGTATGTACATAAGGCTTGTTATTATGTATCTGGAACACTACTTTTTCTTTTTCTTTTTTTTTTTTATCACCACAGGAAAAATAAATAAAGAAATAAACATGATCATGACCACTTAGGAAAGGATAACATCATGTTTTCTCTGTTTCCTCTCTAGGATCATACCATTTATTAGTGTGGTGTGTGTGTGTGTGTGTGTGTGTGTGTGTGTGTGTGTGTGTGTGTGTGTGTGTGTGTAGGGAGAGAAAGAGAAAGATACTGACTACAGTTGTACATTTTCTACATGTACACTATTCCCAAATACTAAAGTTGTGTTGTCTTTTTCTGATTATGTTTATTTTTACTATTTTCTGTGGTGATAAAAACACTTGAAAACTAAACTATGTTTAAAAAATGAATCTAATAATAGATCTTATTCATCTCAAAGCTTAGTGAATGTATTAGGACCTATCTGAATATTTAGAGCTGTTAAAAATAATGGAGTTTTAGGTTTATACCAAAATTGTGTCTTGACTTAAAGTAATATTTGGAATCTTGTTTTTCATATTTTTTCATTGTGCTTAAAACATCAAATTGTCTACAAAATATGATATCATCTCTCCACAAAAGATATTTTACTGTTACATAGTGTCATTGCCTATCATCGTCAGGATTTCTTTTTTCCAATTTAGCTCACTTATCCTTGATGTTAAGGTTGTTGTTTTTGGTTAAAATATGATGGTTCGGTGAAATATGTAATATATTTTTATATTAATAATTAATTGTATCAGGTTTATGGCTATGTTTTTTTAAACGTACAGTTTATTAATTCAGTGTGTGAAACAGAGAACATTCATGCACATAGAAATAATGCTAGCAATTGTTTGTTTTCCCATTCTATTAAGCAGAGCTTATTGAAGCACTATTGCTGCTGGATTAGAAAATGATAGGCATCATAATCTCATCTGCATAACAAATATTCATATATGTGCTAGGACAGCAATTCCCAAACTTGAGCAGTCATCAGAATCACCTGGAGGGCTTTTCAAAACAGAGATTGCTTGGCCCAACCTCAAGTTTCTGATTCACTAGTTCTGGGTGGGGCCTGGGAATTTGCATTTCTGGCAAGATCTCTGTTGATGCTGAGGCTGATGATGCTGTTCTGGGAGCATGCTTTTCTTTCCCATTGGTCTAGTGGAAGGCAGTATAGCAGGAGAGGGAAGCCCACGCACTTGGGCAACAACCCCTGATTTCAGCCCTGGCTTTCACCTTACCAGGTGTAACTTGTACAAGTTAGGGATCAATTTTGTCATCTGTGAAATAGTCACAATTATATTTATGGGGAATAGTGAATGAAATAATGCATATGAAGTATTTGAAACAATGCCTAGCATGTTATGGACATTCATTAATGCAACATTATAACTAGTTGTGATGGTAGGTAGAATGGTAATAGAAGTAGTAGTTAGTAGTAGTAGAGAAAAATATACATGTTTACCTTAGCTTAATTGCAATAAAAGTTTATTATTCTCTTCTAAGGAAGGCTGGTGGAAAGATTGTTTTTTATTGATGATACTGTTTCTATGAGAAGCATTCTGTCAAGAAGAGATTTCAGTAAAAAGAAGCAGTGCCCTTAGTGAAAGAACTTTCAGGACCATGTTGGAGTTTGAGTCTAGAACGCAGTTTAATCAAAAGTGTATCCATTTGTGCAATACGTTTCTCAAAATTTAGAACTTACTGCATTTGTTTCTTTCCTTTCCTCAGCAACAAGAGCAAGACCCAACAAACCTATACATCTCAAATCTCCCCATTTCTATGGATGAGCAGGAACTTGAGAATATGCTGAAACCCTTCGGACATGTCATTTCCACAAGAATACTAAGAGATGCTAATGGAGTCAGCAGAGGGGTGGGTTTTGCCAGGTAAAATACTTGTGCTGTATATCACTTTTTCCCCTCATTGTTTCCTTTTAATTACATTCCTTTCTAGCACTAGGGCCCAAAGCAATAGAATTAAAAAAAAAAGTAGTTTATCAAACTAATTTTCTGTATCTTTGCTTCAAGTCAAAGAATTCCAACGTAATTATAAATATGTTGTGCTTGCTAAAATATGAACATGGAATGTTTATACGTATCTGGCATCATAATGATAATGCCTACTGTGTTCCCAGTCGTCTCGAGGCCTAATAGATCAACATAATCAGATGCTGCCAATTTCTGCTAGGGATAAAAAATGCACAGGACCGCTAAGCTAAAGAGCCATGTGGTGAACAAAGTATCCAAATGGTTTTGCATTGATTTCCAAAGAACGAGGTGATAGAATTTCTCTGTCAGCAGAAGAGAGAAGAGAAGAAAGATATAGAGTAACAGGAGTTGCTGAGAAGTCCCAAGGAACACAGACATACAAGGGGAGATCAAGAAAGCATTTATATGCAAGAGTCCCTGGCTGTGTGTTTTTGATATTTTATGCAACAGAAGAAAGCAGATTGCACTTTTTCATTGTCAGAAAAGGAAGAATAGTTTTCACTTTAACTTGAAGGGACTGTTTACAGAGGGGGTCTCAGCCAGGAATGGAGTTAAAGTGGTCGTGCCTACTGTGCTTTCCTGAGAAGCAAATTGAAAGGAACCACAGAGAAAAAGATACTGCTCAATGACAAACAAGAAGAGGTAAAGCTCCGTCTCCATGGCTTGGTGTGATTATACGTCTCCAGCTGACTTAACATGGATGAATGTATGGATATTAGTGTCATCTGGATGTCAGGCCATGCAGACAGGTGTGTCCACCTGGGCAGAACCCAGCCATGTCTTGGAAAACCATTCCAAATCAATGCCTGTGAACCCACTTAGAAGGATAACAAATTGTCATGTCAGTGTTAACTGATGTCTGACTCAACTTCCTAGAGGTCATGGACCATCTCTTAAAATTCTTTATATCCCCTCACAACGTTCTGTACATAGTAGACCGGTAGACATATGCAAGATACATGTTCGATGATTTTGAAGAGAAATCGGCAGGAGCAAGAAAAATCCCCTCGACTTGAATGTAGGCATGAGGTATTTACATTTTCAGAACATTGTTAACTGTTAATTTTCATGGGTAAGGCAGAGCTAATTACACCACCTGGGTCTCCGAACTTTGCCAATGTAGTCATTCTTGGATGCTGTACAACCTTCAGTTGGGAGTCTGACCAGCGTGGGCCTTTACCGTAAGGGCTGTGATGCACGCAGCGCGCACATTCCTTTGGTTCTTCCCCCACCGCTCACACCCCCCAAAATCTTACACATTATTTTCTCTTTCATTTGTACTCCTGCTGAGAAATGAACATATTTCAAATCAAGAGAACACACCTTCTAAGAAAACCTTTGGAGATTTTTTGTTGTTGTTTTTAACATAGGATTTTTGGTACAAAGTATTGTTTGTTAGGGTGGCCATAACAGAATAAAACAGATTGGGTGGCTTAAACAACAGAAACTTATTTTGTCACAATTTTAGAGGCTAGAAGTCCAAGTTCGTGATGTCAGTGGGTCCAATTTCCTGAGACCTCTCTCCTTGGTTTGTAGATGACAATCTTCTCCCTGTGTCTTCACTTGGTCTTCCCTTGCATTTGAGTCCTAATCTCCTCTTCTTAAAAGGAGATTGGATTAGGATCCACACACATGACCTCATGTTAATTTAATTACCCTTTTAAAGGCCCTATCTCCACATAGTCACATTCTGAGGCACTATGGGTTACATCATGTGAACCTGAGGGGGGGCGGGGGACACAATTTAGCTCATAACAGAGATTGAGCGAGTCATTTCTCTCATCTGTATCTTCTCTGTGAATTTGAGTTTGCTTAAAATGAAGATATTTTTCTTAAGTGCAGAACCATTGTAAGGGCAAAACTATAATAATAGTATGTGGTGTCATGACAGAGTAAAACCCATGAAGGTTTTCTTGTTTTGTTTTGTTTCCTTTAGGAACTGAATAAGGACGGGAATTTTAAATTATTGTTTTATGTCTGCTCTGAACACAGCCTCTCACTCCTTCAGTGCATTTTGTATATAGAAGCCACCAGTGATTCTTTAAAAATGCAAATCTGATTATGTAAGGGGCCTGCTGACTTCCCTTCCATATGGCCTGAGTAACAATTTACAGACCTCCCAGACATCGTTATCTCTGGTATCACTCATCTTCCTGGCCTTCTGCCTCTGTCCTAGCTATAAGCTGCCCTTCTTGACTGTTATACATGACTCTTTTTCTGGTTTCTGCCTTCTCATCCCTCAGATAGCCCTTTAAGTGTCTTTTCTTCAACAATGTCTTCACTGACCTCAAACTCTAGGCGTTAGACGAGTTAGGTCCTCTTGCTATAGCCCCTGTCAAAGTTGTGGGGTTTTTAAAATATAATGTATCACAATCTTAATGAATTCACTATTTAATTTCTGTCTTCACCCACTGGGTGGCATATTTACTTAAGTTAAATGTTATTTTTTGTTGTTGGATGGATGGATGGATAAATGGATAAATGGATGGATGGACAGAAGGATAAGTGATAGATATCATAATTACCTTTCTATGAAGTTCCTGAATAGCTAAACTCCAAGCGATGGTTTTGTAAAACTTTGAGTTTTGGATATGAATCTCCAAGTCACATTCCAATACCCAAACGTAGGTCTTTGTTCTTTAAATCATTCATTTTTCAGTTTCAAAAAAAAATGGCATGTGAATTGAAAAGGAAAACTTAGGTTCAAGTCAAGCCAATGATTTCTTATGCCTAAGAAATCAAAAGAAAATATGAATCTGCCTCTCCTGTAAGAAGCCAGGAAACTAATGCAGAAAAAGTATTTCATTCTCCATGTATCTTAGTCCTGATATTCCAAGAAGCAGGATCCCACATGATTTAGCAATTTCATACACTGAGAAAATAATTTTGGCTATTCCATATGTAAATAGATCTGCCCAAATTTCTACTTCCTCACACTTTGACGTTTGCTCTACATTTTCTCAAACTGTTGTGGCTATTGCTTTAACTAGCTTGCTCATTTACAAATTAACTCTTGCACAAGTTTCCTCCTTTTAAAAAATAATCATCTTTTTCCCACTCAGCCTTTCCCATTGGGAGCTCCTGTGAACCACAAAACAAAGATGATTGCACTCACAATTGTCCCAATTCTTCCAAGGATAGCTACATAGCTCATGAAAGAAGTTCATGGATTACATGCAATAGATGCCTTGCGACAGTGGGTCTCAAAGTATAATTTCCAGGATGGCAGCCTCAGCATTGCCTAGGGAAGTGTAGAAATGTACATTTTTGAGCCCTACCTCAGATCTGAATCAGCAAGGATGCGGGGTAGTTAGGGTGCAGCAATCTGTGTTATAAGAAGCACTTTCGGTGTCTCTGATGCTGTCTCCAATTTGAAAAACATTGACTTCAGGTGTTAGGACTCGTTTTCAGGATAATGTGGAGGGCCTGTAAAAATTCACATTGCTGGCCTCATTATTACAGATTTTCTCCAAATGAAGATGATTCCTATGGATTCCTATCACACTGTACCCCTTTCTCAAAGTGTACTAATCGTGACGCTATCCCTCTTTCTGTCCCTCAGGGGGAGGGACTATGCCTTTTTCTTCTTCATATCTGTCCTGGCACCTAGAATCGTGTCTGACATGAAACTGATCCCCATCACATTCTTGATGATGAGGAAATGAAATCGCTTCAAGTTTTTCTTTGTTTGTTTTGGACTATAGCAACATACAGGACGATAGCTCTTGGCAGTAAGCCAATATCGAGATAGGTGTCCTGGAATAGTAGAGAAAACTACAGTAAGCAGCAGCCCAACTATTGTTGATTCACACATTGTTTCTTCCTTCCAAAGTTCACAGTGCTACAGGCATTATTAAAAGAATATACCTATATAATTGGGAGAACAGCTGGCCTATAATTGTGCCTAGTAAATTGTACATATCTCTTGAATTTATGACTACCTCGATTCACGAAACCTGAATCATTTTTTCATCGGGCTTCATTTTAAATATTGCCATTGGTCACTTCCAGCCACCAGATGTGATCCTTGATTCATGCCTAAGAGATCCTAAAAGTGTTTTGACTAGAAAGGAAACCACCACCCCCTCACTAACTATACATTAATCTTCTTTCATAACCATCTCTTCAAAGTAAAGGTAGGATCTTCATTTTATATTCAAAACACTGGACTTCAAAGCATTGATTTGAATGCCAGTGGGGTGCACAGACAGCACAATTACAGGCTTTTGAAAGTTCCAGAAGCACCAGATAGTGTCTGAAATTACAGACATTTTATTTTATTTTTTATGTTTTTTTTTTAACTCTCTTGTAACCTAAACCAATTTTGTAAGATCCAACCCCCCCTCGGGCAGCATTTTATAGCCAAGTCATAAACCTCTAAAAACAGGAGTTTATGGTGGGAATGCTGACAGTCAGACAGTGAGACCCACGGCTCAGAGCTGGCGGGTGCCAACAGACTGCCTAGCCTTGGAGGGTGAGGAGCAGAGCATAAATCAGCCTGAGTCTGGAGGGACAGGACTGTGTGTTTGTGTGAGCCATTTCCCATTCCCAGAAACATGAGACCGTTTGTCTAACAAAAATCACATTGAAAGAGTGTTATGAGAGGCTGGTGAAGAATGACCGAAAGTGGAGAAAGGATGGGGGAAAGTATTCACAATTAATCCAGCTTCAACATCTGGGAACGTAGGCCCTCTTTAAGAATGCATTTACTGTCCCCTGGTGAGCTACAGAGCGTGAGAGAGAGCTAAGCGCAGAGACCTTTGTATTTTTTAGTAGTTTCCGTCCCTCTTCAGTCCTTTTAATTTGATTCTCATGGAGTTTTGTTTGAATGACTTTTAAGACACAGGAAGCCCTCTGTCCTATTGCTCCTTACCAAATGAGCAAGTTTTCCAAAGAAT